TGAAGGGCAGCTTATATAGCCATTAGTCATCTGATCTGGGTACAGCCATGAAAACTGGAAAAAGTGTAATGCTTACATATTCCCGTTACTTTTTTATGAGGCATCTTTCCGTTGAAAATCCATTAGTTATAATGAGCTACCAATGTTTCCTGCACTGTTTTTTTTTTTACTTTTACTAGTCTTATTTAAACAAGTCTTTAAATGCAACCCTCTGCAGTTCCATGGAACTAACCCCGTAGTGTCCCTCTATTTTCACAGAAACAGATATTTCCTTTGTTGTCTGCGTGATTTATTGAAGTCTTCTCACAAGTGGAAGCCCCCAGGAAATTGCCTGAAATGGTCCTAAATTGGTTTATGATTGTGTGGTGTGGGCCAGTGCTGTTATGCTTCCGATATTATGCCCTCCACTCCTTGGCGTCTATATTAAATTGATCTGTATTGTTTTCATGGAGTGCCTGTTCGAGCTTGTTAATTCTACCGCTGCTTCGGGCTGGTGGTGCAGCTTCAAACACACAGGTGGCTCTGTGGTGGGCTATAAGACTCTGCTCGGTGAAGAAAAAAACAAGAGTGGGGCTCAAAATGAACGAAGGGTTTATTCTTGCGAGGTCAAAGGCCGCTGAGTGCAACAAGCACGCAAGTTACAGGTTTGGAAGTATTAGTCCGGAGCTGTAAGAGTTAAAGTGGATCAGCTGCATGGCGAGTCTGTGCATGGAATGGTTACTGACAGACTGCTAATGAGGCCATTATCAGGTCTCATCCTCTCTTCTCCCTCCTGGGGCACCAGTGGATGTTCAGCATCACATCTCAATTGAATTTCATTTCACAGGACTTGTTTATGGTAAATACGTTTGCTTGAATTAATCCATAAAGAGGAAAAGAAACATGACATGGTCAGTCTAAATTCTGAAACTTAGTGAGTTTTAGTCATTTCCGTTCAACTTTTATACCCAGATTGTGTTTATTAAAAGGCTTGAACTTCATGGCAAGTGATTTCTGTTTCATGTTTAAGTGTGTAAAAAGGTTATTAAATAAAATGGTCCTTTTTGTGGCTTTGCCTCACTTCGCTCATACATGACCAGTGGTCCCTTTGTGGCTTAATCAATGCGCCAGTGAGCATGCATCAGCGCCATATTGACAAAATGTCACCGGTAATGTGGGGCCGTCAAGGAAAAAGTGTGATCAAGAGCTAATGAAGTGGCTTTGCTGAAAACATTTGTCCCTAGGGAAAACTGGGTATTTTAAGTACAATTATACACACTTGGAGGAACTGATGTGTTGAGCTGAACAGTGTAGCAGCAGCACGATGGCTGTGTCTCAATTTGCGTCCTTCGAAGTCCACATTTCTTGACCGCTTACGTCACTGCTCCATGCTGAAGACAGTCCCAAATTGTGGACTCCTTCTCATGCAACAGATAATTGCATTCCACACAGTCCTGAAAACGAAGGCTGCATCTGAGTATCCTTCCCAGGATTCATTGTGCCATCAACAATCGAAACAAAAACAAAGACAGCAGAGGTTATTATCTTTTTTTTTGTACCTGGCATGATTTGGAAATTCATCACAGACTGAAGAATTTGTTTTAAAATGTATGTTTTGCAAATTAGCTGATGAAATTTATGCTGCAATGAGATGTTAAAAAAAATCAAACTACAAGTACTGACACTGGAGCTAAACCCAAATTATTTTATTATTAATTTGTATTTATTTATTCATTTATTTACATGTAACATGTTTAATTGTAAAGTTATTCCTCCAGTGAAAAGATACGAATACAGGTTCCAATGCATTTTAAGTCTGAAGGCACTTGAAATAAAATGTATCACTATGGTAGTGCATGGACACGCAAACAGACGTCATCCAAAGACTAGAGCATCTCATTTCACAGCTGCTTTGTGCAGCCTGCACACACTGCGTAGGTTAGATTTCTGGGTAAGCTGCAGCCCCTGAATTGGGATGCACTCACAGATCCAAATTTGTACAGGAGCCATTAAGGAAAAATTTTAAAAAATCGTATGCAGTTTTTTCCAAATTTGCARTCTGCTTTATATCATTTGTAGCCCACTTGCCCTAAATCTAAACTGTAGATAAATRCAATAAAATATCTTCAGATGCTCTGTATGAACAGCATTCTCCACTCAGATGTTTGTCTATTGCACTTCAACCCCTGCCATGCTTTTTTTTTGTTTGTTTTGTTTTGTTTTTTAAACCACTTCTCAGTATGTCGTGCCATGCATTAACCACACCACAGTGTTTTGTCGAAGGCAGATTTTTTTTTAAAGACAGCCACAGGTAGTGGCAGTTGAGCATGTTTCTGTGAAGGCCATGCTCTTGACTCATTCGGCGTGCTTTGAAGTGTCGTGTGGGGGAGATTCTACCAACAAACTGTCTCAAATGCATCGCGTTGTTTTGTATAGTTCATACTGGGGCCCATCCATGTCTCATTCAGATCCCAGACGCGGTCCATTTGGTTCCATCAGTCTCCGAATGATATTTGGTTCATTACGGCAAGCGTGCCATGAGAGACCAAGTGTTGACACAACATGCGTTAATGTGTTTAGTGACTCTAATGGATCACAGAGATCTTAATGAAACATTGTCAAGGGAAGAGTTATGCTGCAAGCTGCTGAGTCCTCATTTCCATTTTATACATTGTTAGAAAGACCTTTATTTAATCATTAGAACACAATAGAAGACTCAAAATTAAATATAGACATTGGCGTATAACGCAAGTGTAAATTATACAACAGTTTGCAACAACTTATTTGTTAATTTGAAACTCCAAAGAGCAATGTGATGATTCTTTGACACTGTTTATTTTAGCTATAAAGACAATTTTTGGTTCAAAATAAATCTTTATCCTTTACAGTGATCACGCTTTTATTTCTTTGTACTCTCTTCTTCTCTTTGGCAGGCGAAGGAYATTCAAATAGAAATTTTCTTTTGCTCAAAATACTTCTGCCAATCCGGAGAACCATTTGCTCTTTTCTCATCTTACAAACGGCRTAATTCTAACCAATATATTTTAATTGGAAATCATAGATGCTTGTATGTTTTATGGCAACAAATAAGCCCAAATCAACTCGTTCTTAATTTGGGTGTAATTTATCACTTTTAAACAGCTTTTGCGATTATTTGTATAATGCTTGTGTTTTAATTAAAACCAGGTACTGCTAATGAACTTTTAAAACATTTATGGAATTAGAAAAAAAATGTTTTTTTTCTGTGATTTCTTTTTTTTTTCCGAAACCTTGCGGCGTCTGAAACCGAAGCCGTGTGATGTTTGTCTTGAGACAAGATGGTATGAGCACCAGCTTATTCATGAAATGCCAAATGGTTATTGGCCAAGGCTGGATTGCACTAAAACCAGAATATTGTATCAGAGAGAGGCAGCTGGTTAGGAGTCAGAACAGATTATCGTATGAGAGAGGATGAGTGAGGAGACGGGGAGGAGGAGGAGGAAGAAGAAGAGAGGCGGTAGAGACTGGAATGGAAAGCAGGGGGCGAGAGTGAGGGGCACAGGAGGAGGAAGAGAAAGAGRAGGAGACGACGAGGTGATGGGGGGAAACTCATTGCCTGGTCGCTGTGGGGGGTGGGGTGGGGTGGTGGGGTCAGCAAAGGCATTTCGTCACTATCTCTGCTTCTTCACCTGTCAGAAAGAACGAGAGAAAGAGAGAGAGATGGGGTGGGGGGTAGGTCCTCTGAGGTCAGGGGAAGATGCTGAGGCTCCACTCGTCTCCCCTCTGCAAAGGGCCCACCGCTGCTCACAGACATCTGGCCTCACACTGATCACTCATATCCACAGGCAGGCAGGCAGGGAGGGGTGGGGGGGGGGTGCGCAGAAAAATCACACATCCTTTCTCCTCTTATTTGTCCTCCTCATATCTTTCTCTCTCTTGCTTGCTCTCTTTCCCCACCCCTTCGTCTATCGCTCATCCCATTCTTTCCTTTTGTCCTTGTTTTTCAAACTTTGCATTTCCTTCTCTTGAAATTTACACGACTTTTAAAGACAAGAGAAAAGAGACCAAAACACTGTTAGCTGCTTGTGACTTTATGAGAGAGAGAGAGAGAGAGAGAGAGAGAGAGAGAGAGAGAGAGAGAGAGAGAG